TTTTGAATATAGCAATGGTTCACACATTTTATTATGTAAATATATAACACTACACACTATTGAATAATATTACAGCAGAAAAATATAAAAAAAACAAATAATAATAATAATAATAATAATTTTTATTTAGGTAAGGTACATACATAAAGAGATTTTACAAAGTTTGTTGGCTTTATAGATAGAGCTAGTACATACAATGCCTAAAGCCACTATTACGCAAAGCGTTTCGGGCAGGAAAAACATTAATGACTAAAGCTTAAAACTAATGGGTAAAAAGAATAAGATGTGTTGAGTACAAATAAAAATAGAGGTAAAAGAGGGGGGAACATTGTTGAAAAAGCAGCACAAATACAATTACAAATTATTACAGAAAATTACATTCAAACAGCGTTGATTTGAAAAACAAAAAAAAACAAAAAACATACATGGGTTGACAACAGAGGGGTAAGGTGGGTTACAGGGAATTTATTAGGTATAGCTTCGTTTTTAACTTAAACTGGTTGAGAGAGGTACAGTCTTTAACATGGTTGGGAAGGTCATTCCACATTCTGGGCCCCTTGATTTGTAGAGCATTTCTGGTTTGATTAAGTCGTACTCTAGGAATATCAAAACTGTATTTATTTCTGGTGTGGTGCTCATGGGTTCTGTTACAACCTTCTATGAAGCTTTTGAGATCAGGATTGGCATTATAGTTTAGCGTTTTATATATGTATAATACACATGAGAGAATGTGCAGTGACTTAATAATAGAGACATTGAAGTAGAGACATTGAAATAATTAGATAATAATATCTTTGTGGCAACTCCGCCTGACAGCTCGGGCGGGGCAGACCTCTCACCGACGCTTGCTCTGTCTACGCTTCAATTTTTGCCAGACTTCCCCACACTATTGTGGCCAAAATATGCCACCTACGATTTTTTTATTATTTTCCCGTGATCAGGGAACACAAATGAACACTTTTATAAGACAAAATATTTTATTTTTTATGTCTTGCACCTGGTTACCTTGAGGTGCTTCCGGGGCTTAGCATCCCCGCGGCCCGGTCGTCGACCAGGCCTCCTGGTTGTCGGACTGATCAACCAGGTTGTTGGACGCGGCTGCTCGCAGCCTGACGTATGAGTCACAGCCTGGTTGATCAGGTATCCTTTGAAGGATACTGGGCGAGTTGCAGGCTACAATTGCAAGAACAGCCCCGGGGTTAAATGGGGAAATTCGTTTCGCAAGACGAGAGTTTCACACAATGATCTTGGTGCCAGAACAGATTAAATTTGTTAACTGAGGGCCCCTCTGTACATGGATTTTGCTAAAGCCTTTGATAAGATGCCACATGAAAGACTGGCAAGGAAATTACAGGCACATGGAATAAATGGTAGAATACCAGAATGGTTAAAACAAAGAGTCGTGGTAAATGGGAATGAAGCTGACTGGAGAAATGTGGTAAGTGGGGTATATCACAGGGGTCCAGTTTGGGGCCAACCCTTTTTGAATATTACAAACCATATTATAAAAATTTGAAGATGATCCAAAGATTTATTGTAAAGTAGTAGATGTTATTGCCTCAACATCTACTTTCCCTGGTTGCCCTACTAGTATAAAAGGTAGAAGAGTTTCATCTCATGGGCAACAGAGACATAGTGCAAGAAAATAGACCTGTAGTGGTGGGACCCATGGGTATGGATGCCGTAGTGGTGGTGGTGCCAGTACAGTGAGCATGGGTTGAATTTGTGTGGGAGGACTATGATAATTTTGTACCATACAAACCACAATTTGATGATACTGATGTTGGGGTTGTAACCACTTTCCCGTATACAGGTGATGACATGACTGAAAGTGAATATTTTGTGGCTTATTTTGATGAGCTATTCATGCAACATCTTGTTGACGAAACCAACAGGTATGCAGCGCAACTTATTGCAGGTGGATTATTACCAGCTTCACGTATGATACGTTGGAAGGACACCACTGTGGCTGAGTTGTATGTGTTTTTAGCTCTGTGTATGCATATGAATCATGCCGTGAAACATGTTATACAGGATTATTGGAACAAAGACTGCCCTGTTCCAACCCCAGTGTTCAACAAGTACATGTCATGAGACAGGTTCCTGATACTATTATGGTGCCTACACTAAATCAAATCAAATCAAAATCAAAATCAAAATGTTTATTTAGGTAAGGTACATACATAAAAGAGATTTTACAAAGAGTGATGGATTAATAGTTAGGGCTAGTACATACAATGTCTAAAGCCACTAAATGGGAATGATTTGATTTGATTTGAACAAATGAACACCTTGAAAATATTGATCAAAATGATCGACTTTGGAAAGTGTAAGAAGTGTTCAGTGATATCAGAAGGAAATTTTGTGATTACTTTGTACCAGGACAGAATGTTGTCATTGATGAATCCCAAGTTCTTTTAAAGGGACGTCTTCTCTTCAAACAGTACATCCCATCAAAACGGTACCATTTTGGTCTCAAATTCTTTATACTGTCTGACTGTGAAACCGGAATGGTGAGGGATATGAAATTATATTCAGGTACAGACTTGCACATACCTGCTCAATATCCTCATGTGTTTTCTGGCAGTGTGGTGAAGACACTCATGAAACCACTGCTGAACAAGGTGCACATTCTGGACACTGACAATTATTATACGAGCCCCTTGCTAACAAAGTTCCTACTTGAACTTAACACGGGAGTGTGTGTGGCACTGTAAAGACACATAGGAAAGAAATGCCAGTTTTTGATGGCATTGAGTGAGTGAGCCTGTTGTCTGCTGGCTGCTGTGTGACTTGTCATGCAGTGGCCACTATGCTGTTTGGACACCATACCAGCTTAGTTGTACAGTTATGATGAATAAAACATTTAGATACTTATATATAATGTGAGTATATAGTGTAATAACACCACAAACAGTATGGTTAGGAGAAATGTTGGTGCATCTGGCCTTGAACCAGTGAAGGAGGCAGCTGTCAGCTGTGTGTGGGGGTGACCTCTCTATATACTAGCTTAGTTGTAGAGTTATGGTGAACAAAACATGTAGATATTTATATATAACGTGTGTAAATAGTGTAATAAAAACAATAACAGTATGGTGGGTAGGCAGAATGTTAGTGAGTGGGTGTTGAAGGAGGGAAGGAGTCTGAAGGAAGGAGGGAGTCAGCCAGCAGTCTGCTGGCTGCTGTGTCGCAGCCACTCTTATTATTTTGGGCTTACCATACCAACTTAGTGTGTCATTATGGTGAACACATATGTAGATATGTATATACAAATATTAAATATATTCTAAATATATCAAAAAAAGTTTCAAAAACTGTTGACATTCTTTCTAAGATCAGATATTATGTACCCTGCCCTGCCCTGGTGACTCTCTATTACTCCCTCATCTATCCATATCTCAACTATGGTATTTGTGCTTGGGGTTCTACTACCCAAAATCATTTATGTCCTCTAATTACTCAACACAAAGCTGCTATTAGGACAATATCCAACTCTGGCCCCAGACATCACTCGGTACCCTACTCAAATCTCTGAATATGTTAGACATTAAGTCACTGCACATTCTCTCATGTGTATTATACATATATAAAATGCTAAACTGTAATGCCAATCCTGACCTCAAAAGCTTCATAGAAGGTTGTAACAGAACCCATGAGCACCACACCAGAAATAAATACAGTTTTGATATTCCTAGAGTACGACTCAATCAAACTAGAAATGCTCTACAAATCAAGGGACCCAGATTGTGGAATGACCTTCCCAACCATGTTAAAGACTGTATCTCTCTCAACCAGTTTAAGATAAAAACGAAGCTATACCTAATAAATTCCCTGTAACCTACCTTACCCCTCTATTGTCAACCAATGTCTGTTTTTTTTAAAGAGCGCTGTTTATGACAGAAATGTATTTGTGCTGCTTTCTCAGCTGTGTTTTCATTCCATGTTTTCATTTTATTCTTTATGCTCAATTAATATTAAGCTTTAGTCATTTAAGTTTTTCATGCCAGAAACGCTTTGCGTAATAGTGGCTTTAGTCATTGTATGTACTAGCCCTATCTATAAATCCATCACTCTTTGCAAAATCTCTTGTATGTACCTTACCTAAATAAACATTTGATTTGATTTGATTTACAATGTGAGTATATAGTGTAATAATAGCAAAAACACTGTTTGATTGATTGTAGAATATAACTAATATATATGAGCCCCATAATTTTGAACATGGCGATGTTCCAAACATTGAACTATATAAATTCCACAAACTGATCACTTTTGAATAATACTACAGCAAAGAAAACAAAAAAAAACAGAAGAAACGAATGAGAAACATCAAAATAATTGTGAAATATTCTATTCACGGCAACTGCTGCCCCACGGGGTGGCGGGGCCTAGTGATCTTGAGTGCTCCATTGCTCAGCGCCTATAATGTGCTCAACTCCCGTTCCATTGCGGCTAAAGTGTGTCACATACAATATAATTTTTTAGTTTCCCATGATCAGAGACTGTATTTTAACAATATAAGAAGATAAAATAATTTTTTGGAAAGAATTTATTTTTGGCGCATCACGGGTTTGTCATATTTTAATGCAGAGCAATGCAATGGTTAATCTTATGGTCCCAAAAATACGACCCACCAAATCGTTTTACGTCCAGGTACCCATTTTACTGTTGGATAAACAGAGGCTACAATTAAGGATTGACACCCAGTAAATCCTCCCAGGCCAGGATACGAACCCAAGACAAAACACTCACAAAACGCCAGGCGAGTGTCTTACCACTACACCACAGGGACTGCATATATGCTAATAGCTAATGTACTAACTTGGAGAACAGTACTTACTATATACAGTACATACTAACTTATAAAATATTAATCAGTATAGACACTAACCTGGGAAAAGTACTCATCATAGACACTGTCCTGAAGTGCTCATTATAGATACAGTACTGTACTAACCTGGTGAACCGAAAGGCTACTTTATTACTTTATAGGTACTAACCTGGAGAATAATACTCATATACTCTCACTGGTAAAACCTTGGTAAGGTTGGCCACAGGGAACCATCGCTCTACTGAGAACTCAACGCAGGTATCCGTCCCAACCAGCTACAAGACCAAAATAAAACAATGTGTGAACATCAAATTAATGAAATCAAAATCAAATATACAGTAACATTTTAAGTACTATACAGTGTCAGGATTATCAACTTGGCTCACCTTTGGTTACTGCATTTTATGTTGGATATATTAGGTTTTATTTTCATTTTAGTTTTTTTCACATGTAGGTACAGGAGCAGATGACTTCTGATTCCTGTTGGAAAGCTGCGAGCTTACTCTTCCTATACCACATTGTACACCTTACCCTAGTAGTTTTCCATCAAACATGACCCAACAATCCTTTAACATCGCGGTACCCAATTACTGCTGTATGAACAGGGGGGTAAACATTTAATGAATTGCATCCAGTCATTTCTCCCTGGCCAAAACTCAAAACCAGACCAAATCACTTGTGAGGTGCACAGCAAGTTTGTTCCACTACACCATGGACTATTCATGGTGTACACATTAGACTTCATGGAGGTACATTAAATTTTATAGTGTGTATATATTAGGCTTAATGGTGGGGTATACTAGACTTTATGGTATGTATATTAGACTTTAAGATGTATTTAAAGTTCAAATATACTAAACTTTATGATCTGCATTTTAAATTTCATGTTGAATATACTGTATAATTAAACTTAATTTTTATTATATTGATTTTAAAGTGTCAAATTAAGCTTGTAGTGTGAAAATGTGGCTTTGCAGTGAGCATACCATATATTGTATTCCCCACTGTTTGGAACAAGAAGCCATTCAGGCTTATCAAGGGCCCCACTAGGGCAATGCCTAACTTCTCCCAGAATGCAAACCACAACAGTTTCCTAACTGTCAGGTACCTATATAACACTAGGTAAACCTAATGAGACAGGAGTATGAAAATGCACCCAAATGTCTCATTCCGCCTGGAAACTAGGTTGTTATAAGCAGACTGGACCTTCCCCACTGTACTACAGCTTGCTTTAGGCTTGTATTGTATGGTACCAAAGTGTATCTAAAGTCCCTAGTGTTTTGGTCAATTAAGAATTTATTCTGCATCAAGATTTTGAACATCAGAATAGTTATATTATAAGGCAACAAGTACAACAAGGCCAGTAGGTGGGACGAAAAGAGCTAGATCTCACTTTTCCATAATTGTCGATTGGTAATTACATTCGTTTTCATCCTTTCTTGCTGAAATGCATATCTGAATTATCTCAGAAGAAAGTTAAAATTTCTTAGTGTGAATAATATGTTATAGATTTCAAACAAGCATCAATGAGTCTAGCTTCCCTTATGACTTAAAGAATGTATAAGAGAAACTACAGTGCACCATATCCATAATGTGCTTTACACTTGTCATTTCACTCACCTTTTCAAAAAAGAAGGTGACTTTTCTTTGCTGAAAATCAGCTCTTCTCAGGTTTGGCACAGTGCGGGAATTAACATATTGCTGCAAGACTGTTATCGAGGCTCCATAGCCTGTTGGCACTGTCACCTCCAACACAGATATACCCGAGGCATCGCTTGCCTCCCTGAACATCCAGCGGACGCAAGTGGTAAATGTTAATGCTGAACCATTATGCCCGTGCCAGGTGGCACTGGTCCGAAGTCGGAAGGCTGGCGTGGGGGGTGATACTAGATGGGAAGGCTCGGCAACATGGTACCTGGAGGTGAGCTGAAGTACTGCTGAACCTCGACCTTTGCCCTGTACCCTCACACTCCCCCACTTTCCATTCACCTGATGACACAAAGTAATGACCCTCATTTTAGTGATTTTAAACACATGTACAGTAAGTGAAATAGTAAACAAGTTTTTTTTTAAATTATGTATATGAAAATGCTATGGTATGATGACAATAATGCAAATATAGCAGATAATTTTTACACACAATAAACTGGTAATAGAAGTTAAGTGATAAGTGAGTGGCAATGGAGCCTGCCAGAGAAAAAACCAGTGTTGAATGTAATGAAACGCCATTTTCTGGGTGAGACCCAGAGGTTCCCCGGAGCTTTACCAGCTGATATGCTAATGTCAGACTTTGGCATCAGTCATGTGTATGGAGTTCTAAGGCCTACCGGGGACCACGGCCAGAACCTGGCCCCCTCAGAGAGGCAAGGGGAGCAATGGCCTATAGAAACCCCTGTGTGGTTGGAAGCATTCTATGTCTGCCATCGACCAGGTCAAGCATCCAGAAAGGTAAGCATTCTAAAACAAACCCCCCTATTCTGGTTAAATTTGCAACCAAAAGCCGAACTAGTGGATAGAACTCCCCAACAGAAAACAAGAAAACTAAAATGACGTCACATGTCACCGCGCCACTGTCTGCACTGCTCCCCCCTCCCTGGGAGGGGGAAGGGGGAGCCCCAGACCTCCCACGCTGGCTATCCACCCAACAGTTCTGAGGCTGGATGTCAAAACACGCAAAAAAATGCCGACCAGAGGGAGCGTTGCTGAGGAGCCTCTGGGTCTCACCCAAAAAATGGCGTTTCATTACATTCAATGCTGGTTTTCTGGGGGGAGCCCCGTCGGCTCCCCGGAGCTAACTACCCACAGAGGAAGGAGACAACGGCAGAAACGAGACAATTGGCAGCCAACGCCAACCCAAGGCAACACAGCCTGAAAAGGGCCTGGGAACAACACGAGACAACGAGCAGCAAGGCCCCTGTACGAACACCAAAGATCCATGCCTGAATGACAGCAGGGACATGCCGCCCAGACTGCAGTGAGAGCAGCGAAGCCACGAACGCCACAGGCATGGGGAAAGAACACCGGCAGGCTAGCCGCAAGAACACGGCTAACAACCTGGGACACCGTCACCTGCGAACAGGGAAGAACGAAACCAGATCAACGCAAAGCGCTCCCTGAACATAAAGGTCGTGGCACGCAAATAACAGCAGAGGGCCGCCACTGAACACAAAACATGACACACCCTCGGCCCGACCAACCAAGCACCAACAACCAAAGGACCCCTCCGGAATGCAGCAGCCCCATCCTGTGCCAGAAAAGATGGAGACTGCTGCCACCGAACAACCAAAATGCCAAAACCGAAGGAGCAGAAAAACCCCTGCGGAGGAGCAAGAAGCCCAGCGACCCAGTTGATAGAGAGAACTCGATCAACATCAGAGGCCCGAAACTGTTCAACACGCTTCCGCCACACATAAGGAGCATAACTGGCAATCCCCTCACAGTGTTCAAGAGAGAACTGGATAAGCACCTCCAAAGGATACCTGATCAACCAGCCTGTGACTCATATGTCAGGCTGTGAGCAGCCGTGTCCAACAGCCTAGTTGATCAATCCAGCAACCAGGAGGCCTGGTCGACGACCGTGCCACAGGGACGCTAAGCCCTGGAAGAACCTCAAGGTAAGGTAGGTAACCCATCCCCCAGAGGCAAATGCCAACAGGAAAAGAGCCGACGAAAAAACAAACCAGAACCGAAGGGGCACCATCAACCGAGGAGAAGACAAAACACGCCGACCAAAGATCAGGATGGTGCAAGCGGCGCACGAACAGGCTGGAGGTGAAACAACGCACGAGACAGCTTACTAACGGTGCAGAAGCAACACCAAGACCGAAAGCAAGCCAAAGCGGCTCCGCCAGCGCCGCATGAAATGAGGCGACAGTACGTGGCAAGACGATGGCCCCAACCCCCACCAGAAAAACCAAGCCAACTCTAACAACTGCAGCCACCTAAGAAGGGACAGGAGGAAAAGGAAGGACCATCAAAATATTCCATACTGCCGCCAAGAAGAAGTACACAGGTGGGACACCTACCACGAAGCCACCAGACCACCAACCGGAGGGGAAACATGCGAGGCAGAACGTAAGCAGCCCCAACAAGGCACCTCCGAGCCCAGGAAATTGGCAGAGCTGCGGGAAGATCTCGAGCGCAACCACCTAAGCCCAGGCAGCACAAAGGAGATGGATCGTCTGCCGAACAGAAAGCTCCCAATGCAAGCAAGCCTGCCAGGAGATCAGAAACGACGGGTCCGATGTGAGACATCGCAAGACCCTGAAAAGCCAATCGGCAGGGCAAGCCAGGATAACCGAAGAAGGAGTAAGGGTTGCCACCAGAACAATACCCGAAATAAGGGGTACGAGCAACGAAACCAGACCAAGACACATAAGCGCACCATAGGACACGGGCTGAAATAACGCCCAAGAAGCCAAGGAACACACGAAGAACATCCCTGCGACAGAGGAGGAAACAAAGGGAACGCACAAGGAAGGGAAGCGGGAGAAACTGACCCCCCTCCCCCCTATAGCAGCAAGTGCAGGCAAAACCGACCAAAGGAGATGCCAGGGAAGCGACTGGGGAAAGCAGGACGAAAGAGCCAAACCTCACACCCCAGGAAACAACCAGGGGTGGACAATCAGGCAGGAACAGAACCCCACGCACATGGAAGGGCTTATCCAGGGACCCGAAGACCGCGAAAAATAACAAGCAAACCCCCAGACGCAAACCCTAGGCACAAAACAGCAGCAAAGTGCCACACCACAACCAGACACAGGAACAAGGACATGCCACCGCGAAACACATTACCAATGCACACGTGCAGCAGCAACATGCACCACTGCAACACGCAACATGTAAGTAGCAACTTGCCTCTGCAAAGGCAGAGAACGGTGCAGGCAGACCCCAGACAGGGCCAATGGAGACATGACAGAACCCAGCAAGCCCAGGAACCTGCACACCCAGCGACCGACGGCGGAGATACCTGCTCGATACCTGCTGGATGGGGTTCAGGGAGTTCATTTACTCCCCAAGCCCAGCCCGAGGCTAGGCTTGACACGTGAGAGGTTGGTCCACCAGGCTGGTGTGTGGAGCGGCCCGCAGGCCCAAATACCCACCACAACCCAGGATGGGCCGGAAGCTCTATTTGAAAACAGGCTAGTGTTCCTTGGAAGTCCACGGATGTACTGGCAATATGGCGGATGCTCGCAGGTAGGACGTGTAATAACCACAGACCTCTGATGTGTATACAGTGTTCCCTGATTGTGCCTATGGCACCACTGCACTCCACTGGTACTATCCCGCATGTTCTTCCATATAGGTGGGACCCAAGAGCCAGAGCTCAAACCCCGCAAGCACAACCAGGAGAGCCCTACCAGGTGAGTACATAACCATCCCCACAACCCACACACCTCATAACACGAAAGAGGTGGGTCCTCTGAATGACTCTAGCATGGGTTGGACATGCACATGAGAGGGACTGGAAGGGTTAAAAAGGGACAGTCACTGGTATGCTAATGGTCTCATTTGTACATAAATATACCTAAATAAAGACAGGTATATAAACATCTTTGCATCCAGTGCCCGGCCAAAAAAACGCCAGCTCGCAGAAACTCACCTTCGAACGGAGGCACGAATGTGACACAACCCAACAGTGCCCAGAAGATCTTGGGAGCACCGCCAGGTAAAGAAGCCAGAGCCGGACACGCAGGAGAGCAGGTTAGAGGCGAAGGAGGAGGCCCACACCCATGACACAGGGAAAACCTCGGCGTTCTCCCCACAGCTGGAATCCAGGACACCCCCAGAGCGAAGGAGCACATACCGGAGAAGGGCGAAAAACGAGAGGCGAAGCACCCGAGAAAAAAGGGCGCAAAACACCAGCACTGAAACACACCGCCCAGACCAAAACAAACCCCATGGCACATGCGCATGACATGCTGGCAAACCGCACAACCCGCTCTGCGGGAAGGCGCCAACCAGGACTACTGCACAAGAAAAGTAGCCAAACAGAACGCAACCCTAGGGAATCGCGAAGGAGAAAAGAACAACCCATCACACGGGGCAGGAGCTAAAAGAGGAAGCAGTAACAACAAAACCGGTCAACTAAGCAAAGACAAGGAGCCCAAAGGGAACCCAACTGGGCTACAAGTAGCCCAACACGGCGACCCGGACTAGGAGCCGACAGACGTTCCAATAATATGGGCAGAAGCGAAAACCTCCCCAAACCCTCGAGAACACAGAAGCAAACACCAGTCCCAAAGGCACACAAGGCACAGTCGTACTCGAGACCAAAAGTCACGTAGAACCCCAAGAACGGGGAAACATGACGAAGACACCATCCCAAAAAGGGGGGAGCATCCACCCACAGGACGGAACCAACCTACTCAAAGGACAAGGTACCGTGTCCGGGGAGGGGCCGACGCCCAACAATACGTACAGCGAGGGGGCAGGAAAAACCCCACTCCGCGTAACCACAAGCCCTCCCTAGAGGGGGAGAAAACCCACCGCGGGGTCCTACAGGGCCAAGGCCCCCCAAGTCAGTCCCTCCCCAGCCCCGGGAACCCACACAACAGGCCCCGTGGCCGAGCCGTCCCCCCAAAGCCCCGGCCGTACCAGAAAACCAGGGCAGCCGCGAAAATACTAAGGAAGGGAGCCCACTGGCAGACGCTTACAACACGGCTGGAGGAACAGGCTCAAATGGCCCCGTCACTACCCTGGAAGGGGAATTCTACGAGACTGCCCGAGTCTCAAAACCATCGAACCCTGCCCCAAACCCACAGATGGTAAGGAACCGGATGTAGGCAGGAAGGGGGGATCCAGGAAAAAGACAAGGGGGCGTGGAGGGAACTGAAGCAACCAACACCCCAAAGTCCCAACACGAACCAAAACGGTGCAGCCCCGGGGTTCCCGGGAAGCAAACAAACGAGAGTGTTGCCACCACCAAGGCTCAAGTGCAACGCCCCTGCTGCCCGCACCCGCTTAGTCAGCACAACTGGGTAACCGAG